CAGCACAGAGCCCGACGCGGGGCTCGAACTCACAGACCACGAGATCACGACCTGAGCCGAAGTCGGACGCTTAACCAGCTGAGCCACCCAGGCGCCCCTCCCCTTTATTTTTTAAGTCTTCCATTTCTTTGGAGTGCACTAGAGATTCAGTATTCCAATACGGTTTAGGGGGCGCCTGGCTGGCTCAGTAGGCAGAGCACGCGACGCTGGATCCCAGGGTTGTGAGTTCAAGCCCCCCGTTGGGCGTGGAGCCTACTTAAAACAAGAAATTAAATATGATTTGAGTTGATGATTTTTTTTTCCCCTCAGGTGTGACCCTGGGAAAGAGGGGGTGCTAATCACTGTGCGTTTTCTGTTTCCAGTACTTTCACGATGGGCGGAAGGCACAACAGCACATAGAGATCTGCTGGAAGCAACTCGAATCAGTAAGTGGAGGACAAACGGCCCGAGAAACGGCTTTAGGTTTCCTAAATGTGAACGCGAGCTCGAAGCGATCAGTAAGCGCGAAACAAAAACGCCCAAGACACGCCTTCAGAGATCTTCCAGTTTGAATTGGATTTGTTTGTAGGCGCCCTTAGGGAGACTAGGATGTTGAGCCCCAAGAGCTCACGTAGAGCGTTTTTCTTAAAAAAGAAAAAAAAAAAAAATCACACGCAAAGAACAAAGGGGAGATGGGTTTGGGTGGAAATAAATGCAGCTGTTCGAGTAACTTACTGAAATCGTCACAAATCAGCTCAGAGGAAGGAGAAAGCCCCTTGGGGGATGGAGATGAAATGATACCCTCGCGTAGGAATCTCGCGGTTTTGCATTAACACCTGCTCTTCTGCCACCACTCGCCCCTGCTTTCAGAGTAAAAGGCGATTTGAACGTGACTGCAAAGAGGCGGACAGGGCACAGCAGTACTTTGAGAAGATGGACGCCGACATCAATGTCACCAAAGCAGACGTTGAGAAGGTGAGGTGACAGTGAGACTCTTTCACTTACTTCCCTTATCTGGGCCTGGAGCCTGTCCTCCCCAGGCTGCCTGTCCCCAAGCTCTCCTTGCCGACGGCACCGCAAAAGGCCACCCACCCTGGGATCAGTGCTTTCCGTTTTGTGTCACCTGTCGTGGGGGCCAGAAGCCCTGACTTTCGGGGCGTCTCCGGTGTGCCGATCGGGGGCACTTGGCCGAATTGTGTAGTCCCCAGGATGGTGACGCGGAGACTCAGCCTGGGAGCGGCTCGCAGCAGGGTGGTTTCCGGAGGTTGTGGCTTTTCCCTTAATGGCTTTTCAAAGAACAAGTCCACCCCTTTAAAAGCCAGAGCACAGGGCTGCAGAGCCATCTGGAAGAGATCGGCTGCCTCCGATGCTTCCGTTTGGGAGATAAAGGGCCTGGAGGGCCGGCCTGCCTTGCCGTGGATTCATTCCGGTTGTTAGCAGGTTGTAGCTGAGGGCTGGCATCTGGGCGTCCCCGACTTGTGTCGCAGTTAGGAAGGTGATAAAGCTCGCACTGTACCTTCTTGTGGTCGTCTATGTGTTTTTCCCTAGAAGCGGAGTTTTCTTTTCCAAAGAGTCATCAATACAGGGTAAACAGCTTAAGGCTGGTAAATGGCTGTATTCATCCCATGACCGCCCAGGGCCGTTTTGGCATCCTCAGCCTGCTGCTCTCTGTGGGGAGAAGCCTGGCATTTTCATAGGTTTCTTTCACTTTTGCCAGATTCGTGGGGGACGAGTTTAGTTGGAAAATAGCGTGGATGATTTAGTTATTGGTCTAGGTCTGCCAGATGCCTGGCTTAAAGCCTAGGTATTTATCACCCTGCCTTCCTTGAACATTGCCGAAGATATTAAAATACATAGTCTCGATGTCTGTATTTGAGCCCGAGTGTGGATACTTTACCAAGAGATATTAATGTGCTGATAGAGTAACCATAAAGTACCGTAGGTTTGTCATAAATTCCTATTAAATAGCCAGCTCCCCAAACTGTTTACAATGGGACTCCGTTGAAATCGTTTGGGGGCTAAATGAGGTACGCCAGTATAGGGGTAGCATACCTCGCAAAGACATGCCCCTTCTTTATCAAATGTTTTGTTAGCCTAAATGTTAAATCAGAGTGAATTTTACTCATTTAAAGATCTTCTTAAAAGAAAATTACTTTTATGGGGCGCCTGGGCGGCTCAGTGGGTTAAGCGTCCGACTTCGGCTCAGGTCATGATCTCACGGCTCGTGAGTTTGAGCCCCCCGTCGGGTTCTGTGCCTACAGCTCAGAGTCCGGATCCTGCTTCCGATTCTGTGTCTCCCTCTCTCTCTGCCCCTCCCCCGCTTGCACT